TATCATGAATTGAAAATACGGGCAATGGATGTGCCAAAGACTGCTTTTCGAACGAGGTATGGGCATTACGAATTTGTAGTGATGTCTTTCGGTCTTACTAATGCCCCTGCTGCGTTCATGAGCTTGATGAACGGGATTTTTAAGCCATATTTGGACCTCTTCGTGATTGTATTTATTGATGATATATTGGTATACTCAAAGAGCAAGAAGGAACATGAAGAGCATTTGAGAATGGTATTGGAAATGTTGAGGGAGAAAAAGCTTTATGCCAAGTTCTCTAAGTGTGAGTTTTGGCTAGATGCAGTGTCCTTCTTGGGGCACGTGGTTTCTAAAGAAGGAGTGATGGTGGATCCTTCTAAGATTGAGACACTGAAGAATTGGGAAGACCTACTAATGTGTCAGAAATAAGGAGCTTTGTTGGGTTAGCTAGCTACTACCGCCGATTCGTCAAGGGATTCTCTTCTTTTGCTTTCCAACTGACGAACTTGACTAAGAAAAATGTTCCATTTGTATGGTCGGATGAGTGTGAGGAAAGCTTTCAGAAGCTCAAGACTTTGTTGACTACCGCACCCATTCTCACCTTGCCAGTGGAAGGTAAGAATTTCATTGTCTATTGTGATGCATCTTATTCGGGTTTTGGTGCAGTGCTAATGCAAGAGAAAAATGTGATTGCTTATGCTTCAAGACAATTAAAAGTGCCTGAACGTAACTATCCAACTCATGATTTGGAATTGGCTGCGGTAGTGTTTGCATTAAAGCAATGGAGACATTATTTATATGGGGTTAAGTGTGAGGTCTATACGGATCATCGTAGCCTACAGTATGTCTTTACTTAGAAAGATTTGAACTTGAGACAGAGAAGATGGATGGAACTATTGAAGGACTACGACATCACCATTTTGTATCATCCGGGGAAGGCGAATGTTGTAGCGGATGCTTTAAGTAGAAAGGCGGGAAGCATGGGAAGTCTAGCTCACTTGCAAGCCTCTAAACGCCCATTAGCTAGAGAGGTTCAGACTCTAGCTAATGACTTGATGAGATTAGAAGTAAACGAGAAGGGAGGATTGTTGGCTTCTGTGGAGGCAAGATCTTCCTTTCTTGACAAGATTAAGGGAAGATGGTCTGATGATGAGAAACTGCGCAGAATTCAAGATAAGGTATTGCGAGGAGAGGCTAAGGAAGCACAAATTGATGAGGAAGGTGTTTTGAGGATCAAGGGAAGGGTATGCGTACCCCGTGTCGATGATTTGATCAACACTATTCTGACAGAGGCTCATAGTTCAAGGTATTCTACACATCTGGGTGCAACCAAGATGTATCATGACTTAAAGCAACACTTTTGGTGGAGTAGAATGAAGCGTGATATTGTTGACTTTATTGCCAAGTGTCCAAACTGTCAACAAGTAAAGTATGAACACCAGAGGCCCGGAGGAACACTTCAGAGAATGCCCATTCCTGAATGGAAGTGGGAGAGAATTGCAATGGACTTTGTGGTTGGTCTTCCCAAGAGATTGGGAAAGTTTGATTCTATTTGGGTAATTGTTGATAGGCTAACTAAGTCTGCTCACTTCATTCCGGTCAAGGTGACTTACAATGCAGAGAAGTTAGCCAAACTTTACATCTCGGAAGTTGTGCGATTGCATGGGGTTCCACTATCCATCATATCAGATAGAGGTACGCAGTTTACTTCTAAGTTTTGGAAAACATTTCATGCGGAATTGGGTACTAGGTTGGACCTTAGTACTGTGTTCCATCCTCAGACCGATGGTCAGTCTGAGAGAACGATTCAAGTGTTGGAAGATATGCTTCGTGCATGTGTGATAGAGTTTGGTGGCCATTGGGATAGCTTCCTACCCTTAGCGGAGTTTTCATACAATAATAGCTATCACTCAAGCATTGATATGTCTCCGTTTGAAGCATTGTATGGTAGGAGATGTAGGTCTTCCATTGGTTGGTATGATGCATTTGAGGTTTGGCCTTGGGGTACTGACCTTTTGAAGGATTCGATAGAGAAAGTGAAGTCTATTCAAGAAAATCTTCTAGCAGCGCAAAGTAGACAAAAAGAATATGCAGATCAAAAGGTTAGAGACTTAGAGTTCATGGAGGGTGAACAAGTCTTGTTGAAGGTTTCGCCAATGAAAGGGGTGATGCGATTTGGTAAGCGAGGTTAACTTAGCCCAAGGTATATTAGTCCATTTGAAGTACTTAAGCGAGTAGGGGAGGTGGCTTATGAGTTAGCATTGCCTCCAGGGCTGTCCGGAGTGCATTCGGTATTCCATGTGTCGATGTTGAAAAGATACCATGGGGATGGAAACTACATTATCCGTTGGGATTCAGTTTTGCTTGATGAGAATTTGTCTTATGAGAAGGAACCTATTGCCATTCTAGATAGGGAAATTCGCAAGTTGAGATCAAGGGAGATTGCATCCATTAAAGTTTAATGGAAGAATCGACCCGTTGAAGAAGCCACTTGGGAGAAGGAGGCAGATATGCGAGAAAGATACCCACATCTGTTTACAGATTCAGGTACTCCTTTTCGCCCTTGTTTTCCTTCTTGTGATCGTTCGGGGACGAACGATGGGTAAATTGGTATCTATTGTAACGACATGTTTAGTCGTTTTGAGCAGCAGATTTTATTTATGGAAAAACAGGCTGAGGCGACAGACCCCACGACGGACCGTCATGGGCACGACGGACCGTCGTAGTGTCTCGTTTCAAAACACTTAGAAAAACTGAAAATTGGGTACTGAAAATCAACTCTCTGAACTTCATAACGAAATGGCAGGACGGACCATCACAGGTGTGACGGATCGTCACAGACCCTTGGTGGAAATTTGGGTCTCTGAACTTTGAGACGACTTGCAGGACGGACCGTCGCAGGCACGACGGCCCGTCACAGGTTGCGCAATCCCAGTCCGGGTCGGTTTTCTTTATTCGTTTTAAGGGACGTCTTTGACTATTCTTGCCTTAATTATAAAGTTAGTGGGTTAATGTTAATAAGCCTAATTACTTGGGGGTTAAAAGAGGTAACCTTAAGTTAATTAGTGGGGCATTATTGCCATCTTTTATTCTTAATTATATGTTAATTAGGGTAAAAGAAAGAGGGTTTGAATAAGAAAAATAGAAAGAACAAGGAGAGACAGAAAAAGAAAGAGAACGAGTAGAGAGAGAGAAACAAAGAGGATAGCAAGGATTTTGAGGAGATAGCTTGTTGATTGCAATTCTTCGGTGGAGGTAGGTTATGGTTTCTCTTACGATATTCGTAGTAAACTCTTAATAGAGAATGATATGTATTGATAATATTGTAATGCCCTGCTATGTGCTTAATTGTATGCTTGCATGAATGTAATTATATAATTGTGATTATATAAGCATGATGAAGTTATTGAGTCCCAAATCTTGCAAAATCCTAATCGCTTTGTTAATAATGAGGCCTTGGTATAAAAGAAGGCTTGATGAACTAAAATAATGGGATTGATGATGCCTTGGTAAGAAAGAAGGCTTGAAGAATTGATGGAAGGAGATTAGGGGATCGGGTGTCACGAACCGACACGTAGAATTAGGGGATCGGGTGTCACGAACCGACGCGTAGTATTAGGGGATCGGGTGTCACGAACCGACACGTAGAATTAGGGGATCGGGTGTCACAAACCAACACGTAGTATTAGGGGATCGGGTGTCACGAACCGACACGTAGTATTAGGGGATCGGGTGTCACGAACCGACACGTAGTATTAGGGGATCGGGTGTCATGAACTGACACGTAGATTTAGGGGATCGGGTGTCACGAACCGACACATAGATTTAGGGGATCGGGTGTCACGAACCGACACATAGATTTAGGGGATCGGAGTAACACGTACCGACACAAGAGGATTAATGAATATTGAGGGAGCGGAGTGTCACGTACCGACACAAGAGAAATAAAGATAATGAATCTTGAAAGATGTTAATATACTCAATCTAATGAACATGATTCCCAAATTAGTATGGTATTGAGGCTTGAGTCCTCATGTGTGAACTTGACGGTAATTGTTAATGATATAGTATTTGTTGTTGCTACATGTTGAGTATCATAGTTGATTTTATGATATTACTTGGTATATATTGATTTCTATTTTGAGTTGGCCGATAATATCTACTCAGTACCCGTGTTTTGTACTGACCCCTACTTTTATGTTTTCTTCTTGTTTATTTGTGGAGTGCAGCAAACGTGCCATCGTCTTCAACTCAACAGTAATTCAAGTCAGTCTTACTATATCGGAAATTCAGGGTGAGCTAATGCTTCTAGCTTGGACTGGATCTTCTTCTTCAAGTCTTGATGCCTTGAACTTCCGGCATGGACTAGCTTCTTATGTATTTTTAGCTTTTATAATACTCTTTGTTTAGTCATTTGATCGTAGATGTTCTTGTGATGATGACTTCCAGATTTTGGGGAATAATAGATGTTGAATTTTAGAAGTTAATGAATTGGTCTTTATTTAATGAGTTTAAGTCTTCCGCATTACTTTCTGTTGATATTATATTGAAATGTTAAGGTTAGATTGGTTGGTTCGCTCACATAGGAGGGTAAGTGTGGGTGCCAGTCGCAACCCGGTTTGGGTCGTGACAGGAATAGGATGGAAATCCATGGTAATTGATGTGAAAAGTTATTAAGAAACAGGTGAATACCCCAAAAAAGCAACAAACAACCAAAAGAAAACAATTCAAAGAATGGCAAAAAAACTTCTATTTGAATGGGATGGTTCTTTATAGGAGGACTCCCAATCTGGGATTACTGAGATGTGAGGATGCCGTAGAATCCACAATATTGCTTAAATAATTGCATGTCTGAGTGTGTATGACGCACATGAATGGGTTTACATTAGCAAAAAAAAAATCTTAAGGGCGGAATGCTTCGGATGACCATGGAAAATGATTGTGGCTGATTTGTCCAAAGATGTCATAAATACCAGGTACATGGAGATCTAACCAAAGTACCTCTCCACGAGATAAATGCGATGAGTTCTCCTTATCCATTTATATCCTGGGGCATGGACGTTATTGGACCAATTGAGCCTGCTGCCTCCAATTGTCTTAGGTTCATTTTGGTAGCCATTGACTACTTCACAAATTGGGTCAAAGTTGCATTCTATAAAGCTCTAACAATGAAACTTGTAGCCAATTTTGTTCGCAACAATTTGATATGTCATTTTGGAGTTCCTAAGTCTATCATCACAGACAATGTTGTAAATCTGAACAGTCACTTGATGAAACAGATATGTGAACAATTCAAAATTACCTATTGTAATTCAACTGCGTATCATCCCCAGATGAATGGATTTGTGGTAGATGCTAATAAGAACATCAAGACGATATTGAGAAAGATGATTAAAAACTACAAATGTTGGCATGAATATTTTCCTTATGCTTTACTAGGTTATCGCACCACAATTCGAACCTCAACTGGACCAACTCAGTATCTATTAGTATACGAAACAGAAGCAGTGATACCAGTTGAAGTTCAGATACCATCTTTAAGGATTATTCAGGAAGCTGGACCGAACGATGCAGAATGGGTTGGTAATCGATATGAGCAGTTAACATTAATTGATAAGAAAAGAATGATTTGTCATGGCCAATTGTACCAACAGAGAATGAGTCGTGCTTTCATAAAGAAAGTAAGAATTCGAATATTTGAGGTAGGCCAATTGGTGTTAAAGTGCATTTTCCCTCATCAAGAGGAATATAAAGGAAAATTATCACCTAACTGGCAAGGACTGTATGTTGTCCACAAAGTATTGTCAAGAGTAGCTTTGGTTCTTGAAAAGATGGATGGTCGGGTATGTTTCGCAAAGATATCAATTCATATGCCATAAAAATATACTACGTATGAAGGAAGACACTTCTTTCCTTTATTTCTTTGTCATTGTAGTTTGCTTGTAATCATTTCAATCCTATGTTTTGAAGCATTCCATGTGTACTTGAACTGCGTTCGACCTGAATTCTCAAGAATGAGATACGTAGGCATCCTATATCGGCCTCATCGTTTCCTTATCAAAATTTCATATTTCAGCCAATCCTCGAGAGGAAAACTACGTTTGACCTGATTCCGTTATCAACGGAATACGTAGACGCCACAACAGTTTGGTCATATTTCCAGTAAGATTTCCATTTCCCTTCGTTATGGAAACTGAGATAGATTTTTATGCAAGGGTCTAAGAACATGTCAAAATTTCCGGCTAGGACATAATTTTGAGAAAATCTCAAAAATTCGCAAGATATCATTACTCTTGTAATTACAATCAGATTTGTTCTAAGACATCTAACTGGGACAAAATTTTGAGGACCAAGGGTACTCAAAACATCAAAGTCAACTTCAAAGGCCTCAATGTTACATACTCTTAAGGAGTTATAAAGTTTCCAACAAACTACCTATCTTGACAAAATTTGAGATAATGGGTTTGTTTTTGTCGTGCATGTCGTGACAATTAATTGGCAGAGATTTTCTTTAAAACTATTTTCTTAAAAAAAACTTCATACATAACAAGTGTTTTAATTTATATATAATCTTGTCTTTTCTCTATTGGGACTCATAGGGTCAACAAAACTTCCAAAAATAGCGAGACAAGAAGCAAGGCGACTGGAAAAAATCAACAAAGATCAGTGTTCCAAAACTAACATTTTTTGTGGGTACATGACAAAATAATATCATCAAAGATAATATATTTATCAATCAACTATTCGGGAGAACCTATCAACAAATATCTGATAGTGAATGAAACATCTCTACTTGACAAAAGATACGACATTCATTGTAAATTCATCATCTACAACCGCCAAGAGGGTCATCGCATATTTAAATTGCCGAGGGTAATTCATATTCAAAATGCCAAGAGATCCATTGCATATTTAAATTGTTGAGAGGGCCGTTCATATTCAAACCGCCGAGAAGGTCATTCATATTCAAATTGTCGTGAGGGCCATTTTATATTCAAATTGCCGAGAAGGCCATTCATATGAAACTGCCAAGAGGGACATTCATACTCAAATTGCCGAGAGTGCCATTCATGTTCAAATTACTGAGAGGGCCAGTTATATTCAAGCTTGCCAAAAGGTCCATTCATATTCAAGCCGCTATAAGGGCATTCATATTCAAACTACCGAGAGGGCCATTCATATTTAAATTTCCAAAAGGGCCATTGCACATGAAAATGCCAAGAGGGAAATTTATATTCAAAATCACCGTAAAGGTTATTGGATATTTAAATTGCTGAGAGGGTCATTCATATTCAAACCGCCGAGAAGGCCATTCATATTCAAACTACCGAGAGGATCATTCATATATGAATTTCCAAAAGGTTCATTGCATATGAAAATGCCAAGAGGGGCATTTATATTCAAAAATTGCCGAAAAGTCCATTGCATATTTAAATTGCCGAGAGGGCCATACATATTCAAACCGGCGAAAGGGCCATTCATACTCCTACCACCAAGAAGGCCATTCATATTCAATCTTCCGAGAGGGTCGTTCATATCCAAACTGCCGAGAGGTACATTCATATTCAAATGCCGAGAGGGCCATTGCATGTTTAATTTGCTGAGAGAGACGTTCATATTCAAATCACCGAGAAGGTCATCACATTCAAAATGCCAAGAGGGCCATTTATCTTCAAATTGCCAAAAGGTCCGTTCGTATTCAAATTGCCGAGATGACCATCATATTCAAAGCGTCAAGAGAACCACCAACATATTACATTAGTCTATTTTTCTACCTCGATATTAAAATAACAGTACAGTGAAGAGTCATGTTACAAATATGAGATGCATGCTGTAAAGACCCGTTTAGTCGTTTTGAGCAACAGACTTCAATTCTGGAAAAACTAGCAGAAGCGACGGACCCCACGACGGAACGTCATGGGCACGACGGACCGTCAAGGGGGTCTCGTCCCAAAATACTTAGAAAATCTGAAATTGGGTACTGAAAATCAACTCTCTGAACATTGTGACGGAATGGCAGGACGGACCGTCACAGGTGTGACGGACTGTCACAAACCCTTGGTGGAAATTTGGGTCTCTGAACTCTGCGACGACCTGTAGGACGGACCGTCGCAGGCACGACGGCCCGTCACAGGTTGCGCAAATCCCAGGCAGAGTCGGATTTCTGGTGAAGTTTTAAGGGACGTTTTTGGACTATTCTTTCCTTAATTATAGACTTCGTGGGTTTATATTAATAACTCAAATTCTTGAGGGTTAAAAGGGGTAACCCTAAGTTAACTAGCGGGGTATTATTGCCACCTTTTATTCTTAATTATATACTAATTAGGGTAAAAGAAAGAGGGTTGAATAAGAAAAAGAAGAAAAGAACAGAAAGAGAGGGAGAAACGAACGGGAAAGAGGAGAAACGAGAAGAAGAACAAAGCTTTGGGAACTTGCTTGCTTGATTTCTAATCTTCGGTGGAGGTAGGTTATGGTTTTCATGCTTTCATAGTAAACTCTTAATAGAGAATGATATGTATTGGTAGTATTGTAAACCCTACTATATGCTTAATTGTATGTTTGCATGAATATGATTATGTGATTGTGATAAGATAAGCATGATCAAAAATATTGAATCCCAAATCTTGAAAAGAAACTTTGATATACATTATTAATGATGATGCCTTGGTATAGAAGAAGGCTTGAAGAATTAAAGTAATGGGATTGAGGATGCCTTGGTATAGAGAAGGCTTGATGATTTACAGAATGATATTAGTGGATCGGAGTGTCACGTTCCGACACATAGATTTAGTGGATCGGAGTGTCACGTTCCGACACATAGATTTAGCGGATCGGAGTGTCACGTTCCGACACATGTAGGGGATCAGAGTGTCACGTTCCGACACATGTAGAAGATCGGAGTGTCACGTTCCGACACATGTAGGGGATCGGAGTGTCACGTTCCGACACATGTAGGGGATCGGAGTGTCACGTTCCAACACATTCAATTAGGGGATCGGAGTGTCACGAACCGACACAAGAGGAGGAAAGATAATGAATCTTGAAAGATGTTAATATACTCAATCTAACGAACATGATTCCCAAATGAGTATGGTATTGGGGCTTGAGTCCTCATGTGTGAATTTGATGGTACTTATTGATGATTATAGTACTTGTTGTTGTTACATGTTGAGTTTTATAGTTGATTTATGATAATACTTGATATATACTGTTCCCTATTTTGAGTTGGCCGATGATATCTACTCAGTACCCGTGTTTGTACTGACCCCTACTTTTATTGTTTTCTTCTTGTTTAATTGTGGAATGCAGCAAACGTGCCGTCATCTTCGACTCAACAGTAATTCAAGCCAGTCTTCGTCACACCGGATCTTCAGGGTGAGCTAACACTTCTAGCTTGGACTGGATCTCCTCCGTCACGTCTTGATGCCTTGAACCTCCGGCACGGACTAGCTTATTATGTATTTTTAGCTTTTAGAATACTCTTAGTTTAGTCATTTGATTGTAGATGTTCTTGTGGTGATGACTTCAAGATTCTGGGGATAATGATAAGTTTTTGAGTTATAGAAGTTTATTATTGATTTTTATTAATGAGTTTAAGTCTTCCGCATTACTTTTTGTTGTTATTACATTGAAATGTTAAGGTTAGATTGGTTGGTTCGCTCACATAGGAGGGTAAGTGTGGGTGCCAGTCGCGGCCCGGATTTGGGTCGTGACAAACTTGGTATCAGAGCATTAGGTTCGTTGGTCTCATCACACAAGAACAGGTCTAGTAGAGTCTTAAGGAACGGTAGGGGGACGCCTTTACTTTTCCTTGAGAGGCTATAAGACTTTAGGAAAAAAATTTCACTCTTTCATTCTTTCTTTCGTGCTACTACTTGAGTCCAATTGGTATCTAGGCGATACGAATTGGTATCTGACCATCTTCACTCTCTTTCGCAGATGGTTAGAACTAGAGCAACGACTACGCCAACACCAACACCGGCCAGACAAGAAACAACTGAGCCAGCCACTGGGGCTGTGGCTCGAGGACGAACAGCGGCAAGGGGCCATGGTAGAGGTCGTGGGAGGACGTCCTCTAGAGGAAGAGGACGAGTACCTAGCCCATCTGATACTAGGGCAGTGACTCCTCCACCGACTGAGGAAGTAATGAGAGAAAGGGAGGATGGGGAAACTGAACAAGTGCAAAATGAGGAATTGCCACCCCAACCTACCCCAGAGATGATCAATCAGGTTCTCGCCTATCTCAGTGGGTTATCTGATCAGGGCCAGACACCCCCTAGTGTTCTCTGCACCAGCACCTCAGGCTCCGGAGGTACAACATGCGGCTACTATGGCTCCCCGCATGGATGTTCCATTGGAAATAGGCACGTTTCCACGTCTTACTACTGGGCCTATAATGACAAGTGATCAGCATGAACTTTTCAGTAAGTTCTTGAAATTGAAACCTCCGATCTTCAAGGGTGCTGAATTGGAGGATGCTTATGATTTTCTGGTTGACTGTCACGAGCTACTACACAAGATGGGTATAGTCGAACGGTTTGGTGTTGAGTTCGTGAGTTATCAGTTTCAAGGGAACGCCAAAATGTGGTGGCGGTCACATATTGAGTGTCAACCAATAGAGGCACCACCTATGACTTGGGCCTCGTTCTCTAGCTTGTTTATGGAGAAGTATATCCCCCGGACTTTGAGGGATAGGAAAAGGGATGAGTTCCTGAGCCTAGAGCAAGGTAGGATGTCATTTAATGCTTATGAGGCTAAGTTCCGTGCACTATCCAGATATGCCACTCAACTCTGTTTCAGTGCTCAAGAGCGGATTCGCCGGTTTGTGAAGGGGTTGAGGTCAGAATTGCGGATTTCGGCCTTACAGGTAGCGGCAACGGCAAAATCCTTCCAAGAAGTGGTAGACTTTGTGATAGAAGTGGAAGGAGTGAAGCCATACGACTTCACCCTAACATCGACATCAAAAAGGCTTCGAAAGGTAGGTGAGTTTAATGGTTCTTACACTAGAGGACAGGGTTCGGGAAGTTACTCAGTCTGACCAATTCAGTCTTCACTACAGACTGTAGTTGGGGGACCACCTCAGACCGGTCAACACTTCTCCGAGGGGCCTAGGATTGACTCCAGAGAATGTTATGGATGTGGGGAGATTGGACATATTAGGAAAAATTGTCCCAGACAAAGTTATAGACCCCCAATA